ATTTGCCCGTTTATAATTGGATTGCTCTGTCAGGTGACTCGTTGGCAGGCATTTCCCCCCATTGTATGGCTGCCCCCTTGCTCTGCTGGGTTTCTATTGCTCTCTAATGTAATGTCACTACATCCCATTTGCTTTTGTTTTCTGTGCTTGTAGGTCCTATGTCGAAAGCCATTGTCTCCAAACACTGTCTTGCAGTATTTCCCGTGTTATTTCAGTGTTTTCAGGGTGTGGGCTTTACATCAGGTTGCTGCCGCATTTTCAGTTGATGTTTATAAGTGATGAGGTAAAGGGGTGTAGTTTTCAATCCTGTGCATGTGGCTATCCAGTTTTTCCAGCACTACTGCCCTTTCTCCAAAGTATGTACCTGGTGCCTTTGTCAAGGACTAGTTGGCTGTAGAAACATGGACTTAGCTCCGGGTTCTCTATTCTGTTCCATTGGTCTATGTGTCTCTGTTTGTTCTAACACCATGCTGTTTTATTTACTGTGGCTCTGTAATAGATACTAAAGTATTATAATGTCTCCTGTTTATTCGTTTTGCTCAAAATTGCTTTCACCATTCAGATCCTCTGCACTTCCATTTGAATTGCAGGATTCCCTCCTGCTGTACTGTGAAGAGCATAACTGCTATTTCTGTGGGGATTGTGTGGAATCTGTCAATCACTTTGAGTAGCATGGACATTTTAACAATATTAATTAATCCAGTCCATGAGGATCAGAAATCTTCTAATTTTGTTTGTGTGTTTTCGCTAATTTCTTTCATAAGAGTTTTATAATTTTCATCCTAAAGGCCTTTTACTTCCTTGTTTATTCCTTCTTTTAATTTTTTGATATTTACTTTGAATTGGAATGCTTTTATGAGTTCTTTCTCAACATATGTATTTTTTAATATATGGAAAAGCTACTGGCTTTTATATGTCAATTTTATATCTTTCTATTTTGCGAACAGTCTTTTATGAGAGGTTTAATTAATATATACTCATATGTGCAGACAGGAAATTTGGCTTCTTCTCTTATTACTTGCATGAGTTTTGTTTTTGCTTGCCCCGTTTTGTCTGGGCTACAGAAGAGCAATGAGAGGGAACACTTTCTTCTTCCAGATCTTAAAGGAAATGCTTCAGCTGTTCCACATTGGTTATGATGCTGCCATAGGTTTGTTGTGGCCTTTAGTATATTAGATATACTAGATACATTAGTTCTTCTAGAAGTAATCTGTTCATGTTTTCATGTCAAAGTAATTAGAGAATAAAATAGTAAGGAATCCATCACATTGGCAAAAGCTACATGTAAAATGCCTACAAATTTACTTGAAAAGATAATAGAATGTAAATGAAGAAAAACCATTGTGAAACTCTATCAAAGGACTTAACGATGAATTTTGAATAAATAGTATGCCAGATGGTATCTGTTGTTGGGATAACCCTGTGCAACTCAGATGGTCCCAAATCTCTAAGATTTGCCGGCTCAATTGTTTCTTTGATAGCTCACTAATTGCTTTATTCCTTATATTGGGGACCATTGCTTGCTTCTTCAAAAACCCCTAAGCATTGCTAGAGATGACTAACGGGCTTATGTTCCCCTTGATCAAAGTTAACCACAATTATTTTCTGTTCTCTTGTTTCTTGATCATCTACATATTCACTTACTCCATATTTGCCAGATGTTTATTGAGTGCTTACCATGTCCTAAGTACTCCATGGAAGCCCACTACCCTTTGCTTATGGCTGCTGTCAGGGGGTGGCCTCCAGAATTCGCCCTTGGCTCAGAAGGTGATCTTTTGTCTCACACTGTCCCCTCCTGTGAAGCCCTAGTAGCAGTTCATTATTTTATGCCAGGTTTATCCTAGGATGCTCTTCATGGATGAGCACTGTGGGAGAAGAATTGCAGCTAGAGCCTGTGAGTAAAGTTAGTATAAAACAAGAAACAGGGGAAAGCTAAAGTTCACGGGCATCCCTGAAGGCCGTTTCTCATTCCATCCTTTATCTTTCAGCCTCACCTGCCAGCATATTTTGGAATTGCCTCTTCCTTTTTTTTTTTTTTTTTTTTTACCATCTCCTGTTTATCACATCAGCCTCTGCTGTTTCTGGACCCCCTCTGTAACCCATCTTTCCAACACTAATATTTAGACGCTTAAATATCTTTATTTTTAACTAAGGGCAGTTTAATGATATATGTTTCTCCTTCTTACTCTTAGGGGTTTATGGTCTTTATTTGCCTAACTAAGGACATCATTAAGGTGTTGTGGTCCTAAAAAGAGAATTTCTCCCCCTTTGGAAGACATTCTGATATCTACAGTGCAGATTTTAAAATATTTTTCTTTCTCCTTACTGCATTGGGATTTTGGAGATATCAAGTCTTTTCTAAGCAAATAAAAGAGATCTCCAACTATAATCCCCATATTTTTCTTTAATATAATCTCCTTAAAGTTAATTACATTGAAATCATTTAAACACCAATAAGACAAATCTCAAAAAAGAATGATAATAGAAAAGTAATACTGTACTAGTGGTTTACTATAAACACCACTCCAATGGTAGAATGAGAAAACAGACATTGAAAGTGTCACAAAGCCGAGAAACTCATCTAAGACTAGAAAAGCATTTAGAAAATAATGACTGCAATGTGAAATACCAAGAGAAAAATAGGGAGAAATGCTTTTTGTAACAAGAGACCAACAAAGGTCTTTCTAACCATGAGGAAATGAGCAGCATGCTTAATAAATTTGTTCTTTAAATACAGGATGTCCCACACAGGAGTAACGCTCAAAAGCACTATGCTAGGTAAAAGGAGCCAGATGCAGATGCCATGTACTGTATGATTAGATTTATACAAACCAGAATAGGCAAATCTAAAGGGACAGCCAGTAGGTTAGTGGTCATCAGACAAATGACTAACAATAAGTAGTGTATACAGTGATGAAATGTTCTGGAATAGGTAGTGATGGTGGTCAAGCAGCTTTTAAACATGTTATTGTTTGAGAATTTCATGTATGCATATAATGTGGTTTGGTCAAACCTATTCCCATCTCCCTCTGCTGCAATCTCTCCCATATCCCACTACCATTTTTTCCTCCCCCAAGGAGTGTACACATTTGTAACTTACTTAGTCCACGTAGTACTGCCAAGATCTACATGTGTGTAAGGCCATTCACTGGAGCATGGACAACCTATCAGGGGTTGAGTCCCTGAAGAAAACTGGCTCCCCTTCCCCCGGCCATCATCAGTTGCTGGGGTGGAACTTGGTGAGCCTTTCCTCATAAGTGCTACTATTTGAGCTGGCTTGATCTTGCGCATGCTGTCACTGCCACTGTGGGTGCATGTGGACGACAGCCTCGTGACATCTTGAAAACACTGTTTTGTGTCAGTCTCCCATTATCTCTGTTTCTTAGGATCTCTCTGTGCCCCTCTTCCACAATGATCCCTGAGCCTTACAGACAGAGAATGTGATAGAGATTTCCCATTTAGGACTGAGCACTCCACAATTTTTTATTCTCTACACATGGATCAGCTATGAGTCTCTATCAGTCACTACCTACTGCCAACAGAAGCTCTCTGATAGCGTTCACCATCTAATTGTGAACATTAAAGGCAGTGTTTTATGATATATCAATTATATCTCAATTTTTAAAAGATATCAAGGCAAGTTAGTTCTATTTGGGGTGTTATAAGAAAATGAAAACCTGACAAGCTGATAGATGGTCAAAAGATCAAAAAATATAAATTCTAACTTTTTAAGATAAATGACTACTAAGCATATAGTACAAATTAAAGCAAAGAGATGTAATATTTATTTACCTGGAAGCATGAGAAGAAATTCTAAGTTGCCGTTCTTGGGTAGAATGTAGTCTAAATGGTTTTTGTATGATTCTGGTCCTGAAGAGAAAATTTATAGTTTCTCCAAAGCCTTATACTGTTTCCTTGCATTTTCATTTCTAGGAACTTCTCTTAAATAAATATTTGCTACTTAAATAGCAGATAGCAAAGTCTTGTTGACACAGCAGCATGCTTCTGCTACTGGGGAGAAAAGTCAGAGTGAGAAGTATATAAAATACAACACACATATGAAGTGCATATGCAGAGTCCAGAGAGATGCACTCCAAAGTCTGAGTGATTGCCTCATATTGGCAGGATAATATAATTTGTGCTTTCTTCGTTATTCTTATCTATATTTTCAGCTAACTACATTTTCCAAATACTCCATAGTAGTATCCTTTATAATAATAAATTATTTCTATTTTTACCTTTAAATGTTATTTATTTTATTATTTTTGTTTACTTGAAAGAAGGTCATGGCTAGCCTTGAACTCTTCCCTCCTCCTGCTTCTGTCTTCTGGGTGCCAGAATTACAGGTGTGTGCCACAGTGCCCAGCTAACAAATTCATTTTGCACCCTGCATTGTCAACTGTTAGAAAGATTTCTGGTTCTTACTTTGGTTTAGTGAACCCCTCAGCAGGAACAAGATTAGAAAAGACAAAAATATTTGTTCTTCTCTTAGGACGAGACAAGTGGTTCTCAACTTTCCTAATGCTGTAACCCTTTAATATGGCTCCTCATGTTGATAAAATTATTTTGTTGCTACTTCATAACTGTAATTTTGCTACTGTTATGAGTCATAATGTAAATATCTGTGTTTTCTGATGGTCATAGGCAATCCCTGTAAAATGGTTGTTTGACACCCCTGCCAAGGGGTTGCGACCCATGGGTTGAGAATCACCAGACTAGAGTGTCATGAGATCTATAAAAATCCTCCAAAGCCAGATTCTCACTCTCTGCCCATAGGGGTTGTTTTGGGTGAGGGGTGGGTGGGAGGTGCTATATGGTTTGAGGGTTTGGTCAAAGGGTCTGGTAATTATAGAACATAGAGCATTATAAATTAAACTGTTTTAAGATTTTTCTATTTCAAATACAGCTATGTATGTACTGCCATTCTCACATTCAAATGAAATTCTTCTAATTAGGAATTTATGTCCTTGATGTAACAATTTCTTCTCCCATTTTCCTAGACAGAATCATGAATAAACTGGAGGATAAGCAGGACCAGATGATACCATGAAGAGAAGTTTACAGGCCCTCTATTGCCAACTGTTAAGTAAGTTCATGCCACATTTATTCTTTATCTGGACTATGCCAAGGTTGTCACTTTCTGAGCTCCAGGATCTTTGTGGAGGAAGACCAGAGTTGGGTCATTTTTCCTCTGCTTCATCAAGATAAGCCACCAAGCATAAAGTTGCTCCCATGTCTTAGGCATCCAGCATACTGTTGACCCCATTATAATTCTAGTATGATTTAAGTATCATCAGTTCAAAATGCACATCAAAAACATGATGTTCTTTGTTCCATGGTACAATATAAGGTGTTGCTGTATGATCTTGTGTTGATTCTTCATGGGAAAGAACTGATAGATTGTATTTTCTGGATTTTTGTCACATGGAACCCGATAGGCTTCAGGGACCATACAGCCTTGGGCTTGGAATGTGATGCATAGTTATGTGTGATTCTCAAAAGTGAGTGGACTAAATGTGGTTTCTTGGTTTTGTGGTACAATAAGTAGTTTGACTTTCTGTGTGTTGCTCATGTGCTTTTGAGTTGTGCCATAAAGAACCATGGTACTTGGGATGGGAATAGCTACTGAGTTGAATGTAAAACCCAGTACAGCCCATGCTTTTGATCCTCTGGATAACTCACTTGGTCCAGCAGACACTTAGCCACTCTTGAGTCAGAGCGAAGCCACTGAGTTGGAAACCTTGTGGTTGGAGCTCATTGTGTCTGTCGAGCCTGGTGGGGAGGGATGGAAGAGAGGTCTTTCTTAAACCAAGCAGTGCCTGACTTTGGCTGAGAGAATAAAATGAATCAAATGAAAACGATTGAGATGCAAATCACTAGGCAGTCAGCCCGTAGAATTTCCGACCCAGGTTAGATTGTTGTAGCGTGTGCAAAAGCTCTTTATCTACACAAAGATTGGGGCCAAGCGTTTTAATTGGCTCGTTTCTTCTGCTGAATTCTAATCCCAGAAACTCATAAGGCTAGTTCAGCCTGCCGGAAAGTCGCCAGGCTGTATGGGGACCTTCTTTTGTTCTTTCTCTTGTGTGTTCTATGGGACCATAGTGTTGTTGTTCTCTCTCTCTCTCTCTCTCTCTCTCTCTCTCTCTCTCTCTCTCTCTCTCTCTCTCTCTCTTTATGATAAGCTTATTTGTTAGACAGGGGCTGTACAGATTGAAGAGGCTATGCCATAAAGAAACGAGGGAGTCTACCTTGATGGGGAAGGACTTGCGAAAGACAATAGTCTCCCCACACATCCACACGTGCTACATCTCACAGAAGGAAAGGTAGGCTTAGCTGCAGGAGAATTGGGGCACTGCAAAACAGCACAGCAGATTCAAGAGATAGAAAACGTTTGAGGAACCACCTGTGCTGATTGTATGTCCCACATCTGCATATGACTTAAAGCCATGCATTATCTGAAAGGCGCTGGATAAATTATTCTACCATTCCGAGATCGGCCTAATGCTACACAGTGATCATTCTTCTAAACTCTAAACTAATCACTCTAAAAGCTGGAGGGGTCAGACATCACCTGGACAGCTACAGGCTCCAGTTTGTGGAGATGCTGAGAGACTCACATAGCACTAATGAGGCAGCTCTTTGGTAGTTAGGGGTAGGTTGTAACCATCACTAAACCTCCCTGATTATTGACATGCATAATAACTCATATGTGCTATTGGTATCTAATTATTAAGTGTGGTAGTTTGAAAGTGATTGGCTCCTATAATAACACTCTTAGGAGTGTTATTATAGGCACTCTTAGGAGGTGTGGCTTTGTTGGAGTGGGTATGGTCTTGTTAGAGGAACCGTGTCACTATGGAGGGTGGCGTTGAGGTTTCCTATGCTTACAGTACTGCCCAATGTCTCAGTTGACTTCCTATTGCCTGCAAGATGTAGGACTCTCAGCTACTCCTCCAGCACCACTCCTGGCTTTTGAGTGGGTTCTGGGGATCCGAACTCAGGTCCTCATGCATCCATAACAAGCACCTCTTCCTCAGTGTACTCCAGTCTAGAGCTGGGATTATAATGGGACTCCATACATATTTAATTTTATGATCATTCTCCATAAAAATCTAAGTTATCATTAATGTAAGAGGCACTGTTATTTCATGAATGACTAAAAAAAAATGTCATTTAAGTTTTTGCGTGCTGTCAATTACACCTTGCACTGTAGAAACAGGTGCATGGGTAACATACATAATCAGTAGCTGGATTGTGCCTAACTGGGTAATGTAGTTCTCAAGTTTTTGCCACTCAGTTCACCTCTATGACTAAGCCTCAGCAAAGCCATCTCTAGTCCAGGCTTCTACTTCAGGTGGGTCCTTTGAAAGCTGGGGAGAGATCAGAGGAACTAGGTCGTCACACACTGAAGTCGGCTTGTGTGTTCTGTCTTCATGGTTTGTTTCTCCTGACAAGTGAGTGGGAAATCTTCCCTAAGACTAAAAAGGGGAACTGATGTAAATTGTAACTGACATGGTGTTTAGGTCCAAACAACTATTGACTCTGAATCTTGCCTTTCAGATGTTACAGGCCCCAGCTACTGAGGGGCATTCCCAGAATTGGGGTGATAGGAGCTTCACCCCTCATCCTTTGCAAAAGGGTATTTTCCCTTGCCACCGACACTGCCTGGTCCCAGCCTTCATGGAGTGTGGCAGTGTTGGATTCTAGGTAGAGAATGAAAGAGTTCAAATCCTGGCCCTTCTAAATTATTGAGATGTATTTCTAAACAAAGCATAGCAATCTGAGCATGTTTCCATGGCTTAACAGCTGTTGGGCATCTCTCCCCCGATGCTTTGCCCGCCCTGCAGCTGGGATAACTCTTGACCCTAATTAGTCACTGCTGTGGGAACATGTTAGAACTTGAGTTTCTGTTTGTTCCTTACTTCATGCTGAGTGTTTGTTTATTTGTTTGCTTGCTTGTTTTTTTCAAATCAAAAATTGGAGGCTGGATATTTTCCCCTTCATGAAAAGATTGGCAAGCACTCTCTAGGGATAGGACAGGTCTCTGTATCTCTGAAGTCATTCACTCACATTTGAGGTAGAAACGCTGTCAGATGTGACCTTAGGCATCTGCAGTCCTTAGAGGGCTCGTATTGATTTAACACCTTTCTATGGCTTTGAACACCTTTCATTATAGGATTACCTGGGAATGTCTGAGGGAAGTTGTGCTCCTGTTTAGGAACCCTATTGGCTCATATAAATCATAAATCCCATTTTCTATATGAAAAACCCTCTGTGAAGGAGAAAATGTAGGGTTTGATTGTAATGGTTGTACTCTGAGCTCTCCCCTATCCTCTGACCAATTATGTAACTTCACAAAGTAATTCCTCAACTGTGAGGCCTGGATGAAGAGTATAATATCTACCTAGATATATACTCATGGGAGATAAATGAGAAGGGCATAAAAATATTCCAGTGTTATGAAATGCCCCTCAAATATGAGCTGTTGCATTGTTAAAAATTAGTCATATTTAATAAATAACATTTATTTGCTTAGCAGTCCTGTCTTAAAAAATGGAGAGAAATAGTCTATATGACTCTGCCCAGATGCTAACTCAGATGGGTCCCCCTCACTCTACATAAAGGACATTAATTGAGTACTGTATATTATTATATTATTATATATATTGCCTTGTTTGACAGGATGTGTTAAAAGTCTAGGGTTTTTTTTTTCCTGAAAAGGAGGTTAAGCAGGGTTTGTTTTATTGTTGTTTTTCAATTAAAAAAGATATTCCCCCCCATCAATTCTATATTCATTTGTAATTAATCTCAGAGTTTTCAGAGACATGAGTCACTGGCTTTACTAATGTGTGGTAGATTTTAGAAATTCTTCAGGGCAGAACCCAGGAAGCTTCCAAGCCCAAGACCCATTGCCTCTGCAGCCTCTCCCTCTCTCCCTCCTTCCCTCCCTCTCTCCCTCCCTCCCTCCCTGCCTCTTCCTGAGTCATTGCCATTGGCAGCCTTTGCCTTGCGGTTGCTCCTCTCTGTGGCAGTTTGCCATCCTCTCCCCCACCCTGGGGGGCGGGGGACTGGTCCTCTCCCACTACCAGTATCCTGGCAGCGCCTCTCAGGTGAACTTGGCTTTCCTCAAGCTGAACCAGAGCACTACCAGGAGCTGTGTTGTGTGGCTTGGGGAGTTACCCAAATAGCAGAGCAGCGTCATTTCCTGGGTAGCTGCTAGAGGACACCCTGTATTCCTCTTTGCAGTGGACGGTAATGAGAGGGAGGGCTGGGCGCTCTGAAGTAAAACACCACACAGATATGGCAATGAGCAAGACTGCAGCTGCTCTCTTGAAGATCTCTGTGAGGCATGGCCAGCCCTCCACCCCGAGAGAAAGCCAGCTTTAGAGTAAGCCAGAGTGGCTAGAGCAGTGAATACTTGGGGAGAATTCTTGGGGAGAAAAGGATGCTCGGATAAAAGGCTCATTTCATTGATATGTTATGGCTGTTTTGACCATAAGAGTGTTAAATGATTGAACTAAAAAATAAAATACAGCAACTCTCTTTAATAGGCTAGCTATAGAAATTTCATCCAGAAAAAAAAAAATCCCATATTTTATTTGGTCTGATACTGTCAAGATATTCACTTTTCTCATAACAGGTGTCATAGAGAGCGATGTGAGTTCTGAGGGAGTCCTGTGGGTCAGCTCATTTATAAAGGTCACCAGGAATAATCCATAGAGCCATGTAGGAGTGGGCCCAGGGGTGGCAGGAAGCCCTGCAAGGGTGGAGCGTCTGTCTTCCAAGCCAAGCTCATGCTTTGGACTATCTCCCTTTACAGAGCAAAGCTGGAGTCTACATTCCTGGGTATATCAGTCATCAATTAAGACAAGGGCATGCCAGGTACTGTCCACTTAAGCTTGGTGACTCGCGTGTTAAGGTGCATGTTGAACATTCGGGTTGATACCATAAACACCGGGCCATTCTTCCCTCTCCCCGCTCCCCTCCCATTTCTCTGAGTATGAAATTAGTAAGAGATCACATCTTCCATTGCTGAGAACCTGATCTAGAGGAGTGGGGAAGGTTGATGATTAAGCAGACTGCTGT